TATATATATATATATATATATATATATATGTATATATGTGTGTATTTATATATATATGTATATAATATATATATATAAATACACTACTAATTATATATAGCTATGTATATATTTACATAACAACAAATAGCTATAGCTATAAGCTGTGTATTCAATAAAGAGGGGAAAAAAAAAAATCCACGCTTCAGGCTGAGTGCCAGTATAGGTATAGTTCAGTTGCCAAAGTTGTACGCCTTTGAAATTTCAGAGTTTAAACATGTTGGACGTCTTTGAACCTGCCAAGTATGTGGGGGATTAGGGCCTGAAGACTTTGAAGGGGTTACTGGGTTTCAGACAGGGTTGAGGCCCCCGTGAGTGGAAGAAAAAAAAAAAAAAAAAAAAGAGTTGTTCAATTCCAGGCTGGATGTGGAAACACTGACCTTTGACCCCAGGAAGTTTTTACTCTTCTTTGGGTCAGAGAAGCTGGACGTCAGCGAGCTGTTGGGAAGTGTAGGCAGCTTCAGGTGCTGGCCGAACAGGGAGGTGGAACCCTCCTGCATCACCATCACCTGCCAGAGAAGAACACAGAATATAAACCCACAGGATCAGAGACTGCATTTTGTTCTTTGGGAATTTGGTTAGCTTTCAGGTATATGGTTGACATAAGATGACAACTACGACTTATTATATGTAAGATAATAGGATTTCTCTATATTCACTAACTATGTATTCACAAATAGCTATATGTATATCTATCTATATACATATATACGTAATGTATATGCATATATACGTATATACATACATATATACTTACATACATACGTACATACGTACGTATGTACGTACGTATATACGTACATATGTATATACATACATACATATATACATACATACGTATATACATATATACATACGTATATACATATATACGTATATAAATATATACGTATATACATACATACGTATATACATATATACATACGTATATACATATATACGTATATAAATATATACGTATATACATACATACGTATATACATATATACATACATATGTATATACATACATACATACATATACAGTATACATACATATATACAATTATACACATATACAGACATACATACATACATATATACATACATATATATACATATATACATATGCATACATATATACATATACATACATATATATACACATATACATACATATATACATATACACACATATATACATATACATACATACTGTATATATATATATACACATATATATATGTATAAATATGTATAAACAAAATCCAATGTTTACATTATCTACATTACATTATATATATATATATTTTTTACCCAAAATACAGGACAGTTGTCACGAAACACTAAACAATAGCCAGATGACGTCACAGCCGCATCAGTGTCCATGTTCGAGTGCTGCGTTTAAATAATCCTGGGTGCATGCAACCACTGGTATCATGATATATGAGCAGCTGCAGCCAATTTGTGCCTCTTTTTGGTAGTGTTTACACAAGGAACCTATGACGGGAAAAGCACGGAGGAAACCTTACCTTTGAGTCCTCCGAACTTCGCTTGTGAGGATCCCGTTGCTGCAAAAGACATGACAGAGAGAAAAAGAATGTTTAGGATCTACTGTATATTCCAAAAAAACAAAAAACAAAAAAAACGGAAAAAAGAACAAAGCGACACTGAGCAACTACACAGAGGAACCTAGGCAACTGCACCGCTTATGGGTCCTTAAGCAGCCGAAAGCAGCTAGAATCGGACAGACTGACGGGTTGTTTCAGTAAAAAACAGGCTGTCACTGGAGGCACAAAACATATTTGAGGCACTTTAAAAAAAAAAGAAATGTAGAAAAGAAGAAATGTCATCTTTCAAATACATCCTGCTGGTGGTTTTTGTTTGGTCTGTGTGATCAGTTTCCAGTTTAGTAGCACCATATTTTTGACACCCAGTAGTTGGGTTCTGATAAAGGTGACTAACTTAATACAGAACACCGCCTTGCTATTCCGTATAAAACTGTACGCCACTAGCTGTAACGAAGGCTAAGATTGAGTTAAATAAATAAATAACTCGAAAATGTTATGGCCAGAAAAAAAAAAACCCCAAACCTAATTAAACATTTGTCATTCTGCAACACTACAAATTTTGAGCTCTGTCATTTCAAACAGTCAGTGCCAGAGGCTAAGCTGAATTAAGATAAGCTAAGCTAATGCTGCTAATTTTTTTTTTGTCTATATTGTCATTGTACCACAAGGATAAAACGAAACTGAGCCTCTGCTTTTAACCCATCACCAAGGGGAGCAGTGGGCAGCTTATAAGCGCCCAGGGAGCAGCGAGTGGGGACGGTGCCATGCTCAGAGCACCTCAGTGGTAACTTGGCAGCTGGTGGATTTGAACCTGAAACCTTCCGGACCCAAGTCGACCCAAGGTAGCTGTAAACACTTTGTTGTTGTTTTCTGTTTCCTTTAATAATGCCTAACTGTGTCTTTGATGCATTTGAAAATATTTCCAAGAAGAAATTAGATAAAATTGCCTGGAAAAAAAAAGCCTTAAAATGAATGGGAAAAATATTAGTGTATAATTGTCTCTCAGTTCCTGGATTCAAATTTTGGTGAAAGAGGACAGAAATATTTGTCGCATGTCACAAAGTGCACCGTTTTCCCCCCTGTGATAGCTGACCATTCACCTCAGTACAAATTACCGTAAATTCCGGACTGTTGAGCGCACATGAATATAAGCCGCACCCACTAAGTAAAAAAATAAAAATAAAATTGTACATATATAGTCCGTAGTTCTCTATAAGCCGCAGGCGTCCACGTTATAACATGGGATATTTATTTTTTCCGAACAGTGCCTGTAACACGGCTGGTTACACGTTAGCTCTTTCCTGCTTCTCCGCCCCGACTGTAGTTAGAATGAACAGGGGAGACTTAGTGATCTGCTCCAGGTCTGAAGCTAACATTAGCTCTGGGGCTAACTCCCTTCACTTTGTACTTGTCCACAGCAGAGGTAAACAGAAACAGTGAAGTTGGGGTCTTTATTATCAGCCACTCCGACCACAACAGAACATAAACAGA